ATTCAGGATTCGTAACTACGGTTGCCGCAACAGGTTCCACTGCAACTATTCTCCGTTTTTTTTTTCATACATAGGATGGCCTCAAGTCCTTGGCTTTGACGGTTTGAATGTCTACTTCACCTTCCGCTTAACCCCTGGTTCCATTGAGCCATGACCTAAACGCCAGCCAGGGCTATCTTCTCCTCTCTTCTTTAGCCTAGATCATTTAAAATACCACCCGGTTGGGACCTTGTTTTTGAGCCCACAGTAAGTTTCGATAAAACTCCACTTAGAATTTCCGTAAAGCTTCAACCTAATTTTCCCGAAGTGGCAATCCTGGTTCGTAAAGGCCGGCCTAAGAAAACCTTCACTCCACTTGAGTCATACCTTGTCACTTTACTAACGCATGCGTACAGTTTGCTCGCAACATACGCTGTCACTCAAGGCCATTCTCGAGCCCTGGCAGTCTCCTTTCCAAAGCAATGTTCGAACCGTACCCAACACGTGCCTGGAGCTAACCACAAACTCCTCTTTCATCGCCATTGCAAAAGAACTGCTACCCAAGAGACCAAGAGAAATTAAAGCCTCTCCGTAACACAAGATGAGGCGGCCTACAGATCCATGATCTTTACCCTCTAATTAGATAAATCTTCCTTCACCCGCCGGCCTCTCTCCCTGTCACCAGAGCTCAGCCAAGCTCAAATCGATTCAAAGTTCACTGTCGACAATCCGTGCTCACACAACTGTACCCATGCGCGGAGATTTCTGTAGCTTCTGCAATCATATTTGCCAAGAAAGAAGCATGCACCACTTGCAAGACTACGATAGAATGGCACGTGAAAATCAAACTCGACACGAATGATTTTCCAGGCTGAGTAAACTGGCCCGAGTGTGACTTAAAACCCCAGACTCCTCATAACAAACCCCGAAAGACTAAGCTCCACTGAAAATTAATACACTTCAAATCTCCAATCGAGATTACCACAAACAAGATCCATATCACTAATCCCAAGACTTCGAATTACTGTAAACAATCGGAAACTTGCCCGAGCTTCTAACTAAACCCAAACGTTAGTGAGTTCTTCGAGTGAAATAAACGGGAGATTCCCCATTGAATTTCTGTCGGTCTTATTACCCTACTGGAAACAAAACCGTCACTGTCACAAACATAGTCAAGCCCAACCCACTCCACACTCGGAGATTCCAGGTCTGACGCTCACGGGCACTACTCCCAACGCGTTAGGCTTGACTCGAAAAACTAACGTTCTTCGAGTCTCCTTCGACGCTATACCCTACGACCTGAAACCCTAGGTGACTACTAAATATAGTAAGATTAAAAACTACATGACACCAACACACTCAACTCACCAACGCAAGGAGAATGCAGACTTCAAAACTAAGAGAAACTAAATCGAGAAAAGACCTCCAAGGCCAATGCTTTGGACTACTTTATTCCTAACTACCACAAAACTGTCACTCGCTCTAATGCGAGCTCCTAACAAGTCCTACACTTGCGGAGTCAGCAATTGCCGCTCCCTCTAACATCCGATCTAAACCTAATAAAGGCCGCTAGCTCTAACTCCAAATTTACTATCGCGTCGCGCGATCTCGAGAGGAACGCGTCGAGCTTCTTGGCTAACCGATGCTGCCTTCGACCGCTCCCTACTATTAATTCCGCCGCACGATGCTCAAGTTCTCGTAACCGTAGCCATTTGTGCCTCTCAACCTGCCATAAAACATACTCGTGCAAGCATTGATTCACCCTCGCGGTTAAGGCGTCACGCACTTGTTTGGATAACTGCGGATTCTTCCCCTCAGCCTCCATCAATCTTGTTTCCATCTCGCATAACTGCTCCTCAGCTTGCGTCTGTTGTGACCTCAGCTCGCTGCACCAAGCCTCCAGCTTCTTGATTAACTCTAGGTCCGAGATCCGCGCAGCCTCATACTCGGCTAACTTCTTCGCCCTCGCTCCCAGCTCGAGATCGTACTCCTGCTCCTTCTCCGCTGCTGCCATCAGCTCATCTACTCTCAGCGACTTAGCGTTATAGGCAGTCCGGCACGCCTCCAACCTACTCATGAGGTCCACGGTGACACATTTGGCCCTCTCAACGTCCTCACGAAGACTATCACAGGCCTTCTCCAAATACCTCCGCTTCTCAGTTTCCTCGGCCAACCTCTTTTGAAGTACATGGTACTTCGCCTCGTCGACTGGCACTTATGTTCTTTCATTGCGACCGTGGAAGCCGTTGCCACCTTGGTCCGCGTCTTGTTACATACTATCTCCACGTAAGATCCAGTGGTGATCGCTCCAGTGTACTTCTCCCGCTTCCTGTCGAGGTACTGGAGCAACGGAATTACTTGCACACATAGAACATCGGCAGCACTGAAGGCTTGTGACCGTGACTCTTTCGCTGAAGAATCCTCACCCGTCTTCAATATGACTATTCTGGTGGACGTCCGGGGTGATGTCACCTTCTGTGGTCCACACTCGGCTACACCTACGTCTTCTACGGCCTTCACAACAACTTCCTCCAGGGCCGCAAGGTCTTCCTCAGTGTCCGACGACACTACCAACACCTCAGTGGTTCTCTTCCGAGGGGTCTTCATCCTGATACCTGCCGAAGGAACCTCATCATGTCTCGGGGATACTTCCTCCTTCAAGACAGCTTTTCCCTTGTCTTTCCTTGTAGCCCGGCTTGGCTTTACGGGCGTCGACCTTACCTCAGAAGTTCAAGGCCCCTTCCCCGCCGGTGCTTCCTTCTCTCTTACCGTATTCGCCTCGGGTCTCGCTTCTCGAGTGGGACGTCCTCTCGATGCAGCAACTATACTCTCCGTGCTGCTGTCCTCTTCTAGTATCAACCTCATGGCTTTCATCTTCGACCTGGCCCGAGAGTTCGGTGATTGCAATTCGAGGGGAGCTGCTCTACGCCAACGTTCTTTTGCTACAGCGGTCTCGTCAACCCTTCTTCTCTTTTTTTGGCCGTGATTCTTGTCTGCCTCTGGGCTGCTTTCTCCTCGGTTGAGGCGAATTACGTGGCTCATCCTTAGGATCCGTGTCGACCTCGTTGGCCTTCACCACCTCTTTTCCTTCCTGTGCCACGTTCCGCAACGGAAATTTTCTGCTTTCCTCGGCAGTCAGCAAATCCATACCTCTATAAAAATTGATAAAAAATGGGGACAAGTAACAGGCGAACCCTCCTGAAATCAGCCCAATGTGTTGTCGGGTAGTTGTCTAGAAGATGCGCGTCCAATGGATGCGATCTCCTCGCAATGCTCTTTCCACGAACCCAACCTGCCAAGTCATCATGTAAGTGGTTTGAGTCGGACGGAGAATCTGCATCAATGCCATTGCGACATTTCGTCTGAGTCGATCATGGTACCAAATGGTGCGATATCCATTCTTCCCGGTGCGGGGATGCTTGAACAGAGTCGCATAAGCCCTTTCGTCCTCTCTCGTTATCTTGACACTCTCACTGTCAAAGGTAAGATCGCCATCGTCACCCGCGCAACGTCCGAGGACCTTCTTCCAATACCAAATTTGCCATGTCTTGGGATTTCCTTGGTAGCCCGGCGGCTTCGGCAAACCATTGTTATCCCATTCTTGTAATATCGCATCACTCGCCCAATTCCAATCCCACAACAAAAAATCCATCTTCGAGAGAATTGAAGCACGACGATGAGCTCGCAGTCCTACTTCAGGAACCTTCAGAGCGTGTAGTTTTATCGGGTGCGCCATCGCTTCTTTCTCTTGTACCAGACTCCGCGCCCCAATCTCGCATCGATTGCAAAATGTGTTTGTGAAATGTGGGCACCGAGCTCTTGCCTCCTCGTGTATACCCCGCCGTCACAACGGTTTCCCATTCGTGTGAATTGAAGGTGACGCCATTCAAAATTCTTTCCCGTGCGGCACTATCTTTTACATCCGTGGGAATCCTTCGCCGCTCGGATGTCTGCGGGAACTTCGAGGTACTCATCCGCGATTACCGAATACCCTCGCCCGAATACCTTACTAGGTATTTGGAGGAGCTAGGTCTTCGTACCTTCTACCTCTGCTTGGGACCTCCCAATCTGCTCCTTCGGATTATGACCTTGCTAACGTCCGAAGATCGACCGCTTCTACTAAAGTTACTTCGAGGTTACTACTACTTCTTAACTTCTGGTGTACAAAGACCTATTCTATTCTAATCTAATTACTTCTACTTTAAAAGTTAAAAATGATGTGGATTTCTGGTCCTAACTACTCTACTTTTGAAAAAACAAAAATAACTGCACTACCACACGATCCCACTCTCTTCACCCCTACCTCCATATTTTTGTGAATTTTTTTGTGAATGATAGGAATCATTTGAGCCTCACGTGCGATGGGGAGTTTTGACCTCTCACGAAGTGTGAAGTCGAAGGCATTCCCAAGAATTGGCATCCCCTTCACGATATGGAGAATATCACATGTTTTGACATATTCAATGTCTCGAACAATTGAATGTTTGCAACAATCATGATATGGAGAATATCACCTGTTTCGACATATTTCATGTCTGCAACAATCACGACTCCAACGTGATGATCTCCATCACCGAATGAACTCAATGATCGCACAAAATAGATGTGTATTTGTGAAATCGACCATGGAACAAAACTCTTCCAAAAAATACAAAATCAAATAAAATAATATTTATATTCATGTTGAATATACTTATATGGATATATATTTATTATGAAATATTTTTGTGTTAAGAAATTAAATAAATATGAATTTTTAATTTTTTGAAAAAAAATAAAATGAAAAATAAAAATAAAAATAAAAATTTAAGTGTAATGGGACATTTTGGTGATTTATACTATATGAATCTACGAAGGAATGTTTAAAATAGTAAGAACTTTAAAGTATTAGAACTTCAACTTTAGACGCGACCGATAAAGGAAGGCCTAGGGGTTGGGAATTGAGGTAGTAGTTGAAGTGAAGATGGGAGAGGAGAACTCAACCGGAAGACGGAAGCACAAGAGCCTTCACTGTGCGAAGGACAGCGGGTTCAAGAACAAAGATAAGTACTGTGCCGAACGCAGCGTCGTTAGGGAGGCAGGGTTTGGCAGTCCCTTCGACAGCTTACTGACTCCTCTCCGGAGCCAGAGCAAGCGAGAAGAGGACGGAGAAATCACGACGAGCAAAGAAAGGAAGGAAGAGACGAGACGACGAGAGATCGGTCGGGGAGGAAGGGAGGAAGGAGGTGGGAGTTTGAAATTCGGAGAGAGGTAGAGGTAGAGAAAGAGAGAGAGAGAGAGAGAGGGAGGACGAGTGGTTGGATGGTAGTCACGATGGCAGGAGATATTGAGGGAGCACTGCACAGTGCGGCGAGCATCAGCGATCAGAAGCAAAAGATAGATCAGTATAAGCTCCTTCTGTCCTCCATCATCTGCACCAACAATGTCGCCAACTCCAAAGCTTTCATCGATCACAGTGAGTGGAGTGTTCGGTTTTTTTTCTTTTCTCTCGTCCCATTTCCGGCGCTGCTTTGATCTGCTCGTGTTGTCTTTTCCGCGGCTGTCACAGCTCCTCTATTTTGTGGCGGTCTTGAATTACGGAACGTTTCGTCTGTCCAATCGGTTTTCTTGGTTGATCGAGGCGATCGCCTGCTTGAATATCCGGGGAATGCGAAGAAGCAGTCGGGTCCTTGTTTCACCTCGGATGTTCAGTAATTGATGCCGCATCGTTCATGCGCTAGGAGATTGGAACATCCCGCGGAGTGCCATGTGCATCATAATGGTAGTATGATTTAGTAAACGCCTTCAGTGTTACTTCATGAATGTCTTCAAATATATGGACGACATAAAGAAGCCCCAAACGAGGTTCCCATATTGTAACTTTATCAAACTCGTCTTCTCTCCTTCCAACTCTTGAACTATGCCAGGTGGAAAGCTTATGAACAGAGGAAACGGAACTTTCGTGAATGTCCAATCGTCAATGACAGCATCATAAGCTCCTTAATTTAATTTTAAGTGATCAAAGAACTTTGTCAACATCTCACTCTTTCCACTAGTTTGAATTGTTTGTTGTAAGGCAGAAAGGGGAGAGTATCGTCTCTTTTTATCACCACTCTTAAAATTAGGCTATTTTTCTCTATCTGCAGTTATTCCTGGCAAGTTTTCTAGTATATGCCTTCTCATATGGAAGCTTGTTCGAACCTGCAGTGGTGACAGATGAGGTTCCACTTGTGGCATCTCGTCAGCTTCTCCAAATCTTTGCTCAAGATCTGAATAAGCTTGAGCCCGAAGCCCACAAAGAGATAGCACAGTATGCACTGGCTCAAATACAGCCTCGTGTCGTATCATTTGAAGAGCAGGTACAATTATGGTCCATTTCTTTCGTTATTTGTGAAGTTGTCTCGTTGATCTTGTTACGCTTGATGAACCATCACATAATTATTGGCGTGATAGCGCTGGTCCAACCCTAAGTTTCCAGTGATTGAGTTTTGATCCAGTTGAAGGGTTTAGTAATGGGTTCTTTGAATGTATTGTTCAAACATTGTGCAGGTGTCTATCATTCGAGAGGGTTTAGCGGAATTATACGAAAATGAAGAACAGTGGTCGAAGGCCGCACAAATGCTTAGTGGCATCGATTTGGAGTCGGGGATTAGGTTCGTAACTTGTGTATAAGGAGTGGAAGTATCCTTGCTGATATTAGTCTAGTTTTTTTTGGTTTGCACCATCATCGCACTAAGGTTAAACTTATGTTTCTTCTTTCAGTGAACTACAGCCCTCGTTCTCGTGAGATGTAGATGTTCCAGTTTTTGTCTAATGACATCACTTTTAAGATTCTGAAAATGGTCTTTGATGGTTCATCAGGATGTTAGATGATACCTATAAGCTGGAGAAATGTGTAAAGATTTCACTTTTATATTTGGAGGCACGTATTTCAAACCTTTACCTGCTTGGACTAGGTTGTATACATACTCAATGCGTTCTAATCAAGCAGACTTTGTGCATCCTGCTTATTGAAATGAGTTTTTACAGTACGCGTTACTCAACCCGCTGCCATGTGCAAAGCCGAGTTTTAAGCTGTTTATTGTACCTTACAATTGTCAATAGATACTTTGCTCATTCAAATTGTCAAGGGAGAGTCTGAAAAATGTTATGATACCTTGTTTTCTTTGTCCCTTTTGTACCTCTAGAAACAGTTAAATATTATAATCAGACTAAGTAAAGCGATCTTTTCTCATTTTAGATATGTGGCCTCCTATGTAAACTGAGCAGGACGATGATGCCATCAATGCTGAAACTTACATAAAGAAAGCATCCTTTCTGGTGAACAATTGCAAAGATGAAGCACTTAACCTACAATACAAGGTAGGACTTGGTTACTTGTGGTAATTGCTTCAGTTGAAACAGATTGTTCAGTCCTGGTTTGTTTTTCTTATCTCAAACATTTACTGTTTATTGCTTGTACTTTTCTGGTTGAAAGGTGTGCTATGCACGAATCCTAGACCTGAAGCGCAAGTTTCTTGAAGCTGCTCTTCGATACTACGAACTTTCTCAACTTGAAAAGCGCGAAGTTGGAGGAAGGTATGCTTTGTATCCATTGACGAGACAGATGGTTTGTTTCGTCAGTTGATTTATGCCCTGGCGTTCAATGTTAATCAATGTTAATCCTAACATCATTTTGGATCGAAAAAGTCATGATCCATTAATAGGGAATGGATGGTATTGGTGTAGTTGGAGCCCTAAGCTACCAAAGATTCCGATCTGGTCTTTTTCCAATTCTTCCAACTTGAATATCGAAGCTTTTATTAGCATATTGTAGAAGTAATCGGAGCTCGAAATTGTTCAGGCGCATAGATGAGGACGAGTTGCAGCAAGCCCTCACTGCTGCTGTAACCTGCACCATTCTTGCAGCCGCAGGGCCTCAACGATCCAGAGTTTTGGCAACTCTTTACAAGGTGAGTCATGCATTCTGTTCTACTTTATTCTGTTTGGTGCTTTACCTCATCACCTTTTTTTATAGGATAAGAAAATTGCTTCTAACATTGGGAGTGGGAGAAGCTCTGATCTGGAGAGGGTGGTTCTTCTCTTACTAGTTTTCTATTTTTAAACAATTAGTGTAATGGATCGATGCCTATTTCTGTTCATATCTCTATCGTTTTTCATGTTTATGTTGTAATTCAGAGGATTCCAGCAAGTTTTCAGCTACTCATACTTCCTTGATGGTTTTGAAATGATTAGTTGGACTTAAGTATCTGCTTCTAAATTTCAGGATGAAAGATGTTCTAAGCTGAAGATATACCCCATCTTGCAGAAGGTAAGAGCTGCAGCCCAAGAGGCAGTAACAGTTTGAAATTTTTTGTGAGAACTGCGAAATGGGGTTTGCTCTGAACATGACGTTCCTGCTCCCATGTAGCAAAGGCCTGCAATTATCAGAGTTCGAGCTGTTATTTACTATCTTGTATAAAGATCTCCACATTCTTGCAGTGTCAAATTGATACCTCGCGATGGTGTGGATCTTGGAACAGGTCTATTTGGAGAGAATATTGAGGAAGCCTGAAGTGGATGCTTTCTCAGAGGAGCTTAAACCGCATCAGGTACATCCACCGAAAAAAAAGCAGCTAAAAACAGAAAATAGCAAATAAAATAATGTGGTACTAGATATCATAACTGAGTACCTGGTATCTTTTTCAATAATCTCAGTCTTTCTATTGACCTGGACATGTTGAGTTAAAAAGTAGTTTGAGGTCTGTCTAAGCTATCTTCATCATTTATGTTACAAAAGATGTCATCCACCTGTTGCCATTGTATGATCTTAATTTTCTGGATGCGTTGCAGAAAGCACTACTACCTGATAACTCCACTGTACTGGATCGTGCCATGATAGAGCACAATCTTCTTAGTGCAAGTAAACTTTACACAAATATAAGGTACTTTTCCTTCCTTTGCATATCAGCCCAGTAGTGTAGGAAGCATGTGCATAAAGGATGGATGTAGTAGTTACACTTATCTCACTGATATGCAAGAACAGAGAGTAGAGACTCATGTTTGCAGTTGATTCTTTCTTGGTGATGTGCAGCTTCGAAGAACTAGGTGCCTTGTTAGGTATCGGACCCCAAAAGGTAAAAGTTTCTCCTAAACCTGGTGTTACTGCATCACAGAATAGCAAGTTCAGCCAGGACGCGAGGTCCATAGCTTCAGGCTTGACGAGCAAAGATTAATGGATGCAATAGTAGTAATCTCAGACCTTAGTCTTCCGATACGTTTGAGAACCATCTCTTTGGTCTTGGTTATGAGTTTAGAACATTATGCATGAGGATACACTAGTAATGAGTCACCAGCTAAGCTTCGACCATTGATTACATTTCCATCTGCTTCAGACATGCTTTTTTTTTCTGTTTGCTCCACTCAGGATATAACAGCACATAGTAAAAGCATGCTAAAGTAAGGTGTAGTACATATTTTTCCACGTCTTGTCTTTGGGGAAGTCTTCGGTAAGAGAGATGATTGGTTTGAATGTGGTTGACAGGCGGAGAAGATCGCAGCGCGTATGATTTCCGAAGATCGCATGCGCGGCTCTATTGATCAAGTGCGTAGCCTTGTACCTTTTATCTAGCATGAAGTCGTGTTCTTACATTGACTTGCAACTTTTTTATGCAATATGTACGATCATCATGCATATGATGCGGGTGGTATTGACCGGATTTATCAGGTTGTTTCACTACCTCGGAATTGAGGCTTCCTCATGAACCTACAGTTATAGCCACTATGACTGATTGGCGTTATATCTGATCTTCAATTTGCGGAAGATGTATTCTAATTATGACTTGAATATGAATGAAGGTGGAAGGCGTCATTCACTTCGAAAATGACATAGAGGAGCTTCAGCAGTGGGATCAACAGGTATATTTCAATGTTTTTAATTTTCCTTATGTTAAAATTCCACGCACTTCCTTTGCAAGAGGTACTCCAATGTTTGGGACAGAGTTTTCAATCTTTGTGAACTTGGCTTGGAGATCCCAATGGAACTATCGGTACCGTTCACTGCTAGACGCAGCGCTGCACGTGGATCTAGAGAACGATAGGAACGTTTTTCGATTTTAGTTTTCTGATCAATGCGATCTCTGTTGTGCAGATTGTGAGCATATGCCAAGCGTTGAATGACGTATTGGACAGCATGGTAAAGAAGGGAATGCCCGTGGCTGTGTAATACGTATTGAGGTTGCGTCGACCTTAGTTGTGAATAGACAACTTACAATTTTGCTAGGGTATTTAAACAGTCAAAGCTTCATCATTAGGGGCTTCATCCGTGTGGGATGTGTACTATATCACATGTTGTGAGGTGATGTATCACAGGTTGAGTTTTGACCTGTCTCATACACAGGCATTGCTATTGACATTATGTTAAAACATTGGTTGGTGTGATCAGTAGTTTGTAACATGACTAACGTGGTGACTAGTTTTCACCGTAGATATCTTGATGAATACCGTTTGTTTATTCTTGTCTACTTAGTGCTGTGGGCTGTTATGCAAAATGTATTATATATACCTGATGGGGAATTATAACTCCTTATAGGCAGAGTCTATAAGTTGTGTAGGTCCGTGTGTAAACATAAAACTTGCCCACCAGCCGTAATTTCCATCAATGTAGTTGGTTATTTAACCGGTGAATTCATTCAACACGGAACGCAAGGGCTCGGTATAATCTGGGGCCTCCATCTCGTGAAACCGTTACTTCAGATAACGCCTCGTGTCCGTGGGCAAAACCTCTAGAGTGCAAACCCTAAGTGGCAAATCACGTCTTGTGAGAGCTCTTTATACCTTCTAAACCCTGAAACGAATAGGGGTTTTAGCAGTAGGGAACCTGCTTATGTGATGTCAGCATCAGCGTTGATATATTGTTGCACTCTCTCCCACAGAGGCCTAAGTTCCTGCAACATTTATCCCAGAGCTCGAAGAGGGACAGGGAACCGTTCCGAGTTGCTGGAGACAGTAGAAACGCTTTTGGGAAATGGAGTGGGACTGAAACGAACTTCGATCGAGAACTTCGCGACCTGGCTGCTTGTCTGTGCTCGTTGATGCATCATGAGAACTTGCTTCGGAGCTAAATAACGAAGTCCTGTTTCCATCTTTACTCATCGAAATGCATACACCATTCGGCACCTTGTGTATGTGCACGCCCCTCAAGTAATCACTAATCACAGTTCAGTACCAGGTGCACATTCTTATCCTAAATGCCAGTTGCTCTACAGAATTTTAAATTCTATACAACTGAAGAGCTTGACTAATACCGCTGCATAAAAGGTCACATACATCTGTCGCCCATAGAAGTTCACCCAAAACTTTCGGTTGATTACCATGAAGTGTCAACAAAAATTAACCAGAACTTGATCCGCACCCACTTATGATATGATGAATCCCAAAAATGTATTGACAATATTTATCAAACTTTGCGGACGAACAATCACAAAGTTCTTATTTGTTGGCTTTTGAAAGCATTTCACGAGACTGTCGTTCTCACCTGTGTGCACTTGCCTCGAAGCAAATTTTAGTGAAACTGTAGGCATCGAGAATACCATTTTCAGCACTGCAATAGCACAGTCCTCGTGGATATTTCTACTTTTATTATCATTCGCACAATATAACATCTTACTAGGCACTTACTAATGTACGCTAAGATCAGAGTAGTCCAAACCGCCAATAACTCCAATCAAAATAAACAATGAAAATGCAAAACGACTTTGCCACTTGCTACTGGAAACCGGCAGTAGTGGAGGAGGCAGACACAGGCTTGACTTTTCCCAAAACTCGTTTCCTGGAATTTGCAGCAACCATTATGCCTTGACGTGGGGCCATAGGTCAGTCCTACGTGTCATCATGAATCACGAAGCAAAAGCTCATGTTACTAAAGGTGCTTATTGGACGTACAGGGTACTGGAACGTAAGTCTTATATCGCAAGTTAGATGAATGTTCCGGCCCAATATTTGGGCCAAGATTCTGGAGCCTGCTAAGTTCGAGAACCAGTCTTCAGTCCCAAGCTTAATCCACCCGAGCGCATTATATTCCGATCTGAGTTCCCGAGAATTTTAGAGAGGGCGTTAATACTTGGAAGTTAATAAATTACGCGAGGTAAGTAATTAAATTTAGGATATAAGGTTGGTCTCGCCCGAGCTTAAGGCAGCTGACTCACTAAGTTCCGATGATTATCGCCGATTTTATAGCATAATTTTTATTGCTCTTATTTTCTTAAACCCTTTCGCCTTTATGATTGCAGTTTACATTCGTTTTCAACCTTCCAGCAGAAATACGCTTTTATTAGCATTCAGAGCGAAAATTCAGTAGTGATATTTTTAAGCCGTGAAATCGAAGATATTTCTAGAAAAAAACAGCCAATTCTCTTCATGTATATCTATAACAAAGAATAATAATAAGAACTATGATAGTTTTCAAAATAATGGCTATCATGGCATACCATCCTCACTTGAAAACTTGAATTGACTATCTAATTCTCAGACTTGAATATTATAATTTCTACTTGAAACTAAAGGGTGGTCTGAAAATGAAATATTGCAGCCGAGCTGAAGGGCTTCCGGCGGGTGGCCGAGCGTTGGACAAAATTATTCTACATCGTGTATACAACAGAGGAGCAAATGTCGCAACAACCGAACAAGTGTGTGTGAACATGCGCCGCCTTCTGGAACCATCGGTCATAAGCACAACACTCGCCGAAGACCAATGGTCACATTCTCGCAGCAGAAGATGTGACAGGATACGCCAACCTCAGTATCCACGTGGACGAACTATACTCGCGTATATTCAGATCCCAGTTTGATAACAAATTACAACTCTTGCCCGCCTGGCCTTATATGCCACGTGGATACTGAGGACATCCGGGTCTCCGCCAATACTCTTCCTACGTACAGAACCTACACCATCTGCTCTGCTCCCTAAGTTCCGGGACTGCTGTCATCAGTAGATCGGGACCCAGGACGATACTTTTGGGACTGTCCGGGATTCTTCTGGGATCCCTCGGATTTACCATGTCTCTAATCTAGAGAGACAGAAGTATGATACGTGGCATTCTATTAAAATAGATTGAGCTATGTTACAACCAATAAAAATGAATCCGAAGATGGAAATCCAATAATAACCGGCATTGCGAAAATCATTTTTTTTCATCGATTTTACTCGTTGAACCTTTCAACTCATCGCTCTGTGGTTTCGGTTATTTTCCGCTTGAGCTATGTTCCACACAATCAGAAACGACTCCGAAGAGGGAAATTCAATAATAACATGGCATTGAGAAAATGATTTGTTTTGATTTATTTTACTCATTGAACCTTTCGACTCATCGCTCTGTGGTTTGGTTATATTCCGCTTGAGCTATGTTACAAACAATCAGAAGAGGGAAATCCAATAATAACATGGCATTGCGAAAATGATTTGATTTGATTTATTTTACTCCTTAAACCTTTCAATCCATCGCTGTGGGGTTTTGGATATTTTCCGCTCGTTGGATCTGAGTTTCTGAGTCCATGTCTGGACACAATACAAATCCTCAAAAGCTTACCAGGAATCGGCATCAGATGCTCGAAGGTCTGGAGGGAAGGACGACGCATGGAGTGGGTGCGTCGAGATTCTCGAATTAAACACATGAGAGATGTGCACCCACTCTGCTCGTTCTCATCGACCAGAGTCCCGAAACCGCACTCACTCTTCCACAAATACCAGCAAGGAACAGCTCAACCTTGAGGTCCGTGAGATCGTCCTCATCCAGAGCCATCGACCGAGTGAGACGAGCCGAGCACACCTCCTCCTCCCTCACGCCGCCCGCAGCTCGACGCCGATCGAGGCTGCCGGAGAATAGAGATTCACACTCCGCGAATTTCTTTTGCGGAGGTCTAGATTTGCGGCGCAAGACGAGAATGTGGTCGTGGAGAGTGGTGACGCTGGATAGCTCTGTTCTGTCTGTGGACATGTACACGACCCTCAAGGCGACACAAGTCGAGGAGGGTTCGCGCTCTGCGGCCATGAATCCCAAAAGCTCACCAGAGTGTGCACACGATGGACATCATCGCCATCGATGGGATGGGATTGCATTGCATCGCTCTTTACTTCTGGGCCACCGGAAATCGATGGATGGAATTCGTCTTCTACCTCCGGATATGTCAAGGACCGGCTCGCCCTCTCGTTCTTCCTTCCTTCCTTCGGTAAGCGCAGAGTGACGCAAATGGGAACTTCGTACTCACCGGACGTTTTTTCTCGTCGGATTTCGGGTCGCGGGTGTACGTACGGCCTTGGACAGTCTAGCTCTTTATTCCGGTGTCTTGTAAAGCATGATGGGGCGAATGTTCGCGGGCATATTCGATCCCAGAGGTGCCCGACTCGTTGGACGACCGGAACCTCGGGTAACCCGGTCCCCGCACTTCGGCGTCACTTCTGATTTGGCCACATTATTGCAACCTTGTTCATGCGGTTGTGACACTTTATTGCTTTCTCATGCGACCCGGTTTGGATCACAACCATTTGCCTGTGCACAGCAACGAAACCCCATCGAGCCTAACCAGAAATGCGTCATTTTCTGCGCATATTATGTAAATAACAGAGTATAGAAATTTTCAGACTACAGAACATACTAATCATCTTCACCTTGCCAGGTAAGCAAAGACTGATGTACAAGATAACATCCTTTAACTCGACTAAGAATTTTAGGTGATGAACTTTAAAGGGGAAATGAAGTGACATAGAAAACATTGAATGATAATTCTTAGGATGAAATAAGATAGAAAGACTGATATTACTAAAAGTTACTGATCATCTTCAGTAAACTAAAATAGGCTAACGCAGAATAGCTGGGCAATGAAGATGTGCACAGCTTACCCATTCACTCCATGCTCTTTCTCTTTTCGCTGATTGTGATTGATTCTCAGACTGTTCGGTGCTTACAGAACTGAATATTCAGAGCTGACCCAATCGGTCACTGTGGAAGGTTCCGGAGGGAAAGATGGCAGGGAGCCTAATGTACCATTCGAGAGATCAACGGGGTAGCATTGGAGGAGAACTTTCAGCTGGAGTATGGGCGAAAGGAGAGATGAATAATCAAGCATCTTCGTTTTCTCTGCTGCCAGAAAAGCGACGAGAGAGATGCGAGGGGCGGAGCGGAGTGGAGGAGAGAGGACAGGACCTTTCGACCTGTCGACCTTTCGAACCAGACTTATTATCAGAAAGGCTTCACAGCTGAAAGCAGGTCTGGTGTCTCCACGACACCACGATGATTCCAAAGGCCAACGTGGTGTACACAGTCCCAAATCACCTCGCTGCTGAAATTGCAGTCAGCTGTGCCCTCAATCCGCTCGGCGAGGAACAAATTGCGCAACACGGAAGTCAGTGTGGATAGTGAAACTCGTCTGGTGTATTTATAAGCTCGAATCTCAGTGACTATGGGAACCTGTGACAGCGGCGATGGCATTTGTCTCGATAATCTCCATCTCTCGCTTCGCTGGCCCCTCGATGCACTAAGATGAACTGGGCCGAAAACTTCGGCCTTGAATACACCGAAATCAGGCGAAAACGCACGCTTTCTCACATGTCGAGCCCGTCCCCTCTTCCGAGGGGGTCACAGGCGAGTGCGGCTCTGACAGCGGCAGGGAGCGAGGTCCACGTGGCATGAGAGATCGACGTGCCCGATATGCAGGAGCCAAGACCAGCTTCCATCGGCCTGGAGATGAATCAATCATGTCGTCGTTGGATCAGGACAACTGTGCCAACTGTACCACCTGACAACGTGGCCGCCCCCGAGGGCCTGGTGCTTACGCTTGTGCCCGAGCCCGCAAGTCCCTCCCCTTGCTGACTCCTGGACGGGCTCCCGGACCGTGTTATCAGTCCCGCCCGTTGTCTGACCCGTCTCGATCCACGTGCTTCTCTTCTGAACGGAACTCCGCCTGGATAGCGAAGCTTGAGACTATGATCTGCAAGCCCCTCTCCGATGGGACTAATGCACATTTCCTAGTTCACAATCGAAAACATTTATTGAGCTTCTTACGAATTTCAGAATTACAATGATGAGGTGGAAACTCGTTGCTTTGGAGATGCGGTTTTATGCCTCCGACTCCGTTGTACAGTACTGGAGTACATGTCGACAATTTTAGAGGACGAGAAAATATGCACTCCACACCTTGTGGTCAAAGGAGGAGTCTGAAATATTCTCGCTCATTATAACTACTTTCTCAAATCAGCATTCAATTCCCATAGGCTATGATCCAGATGAAAGGACATTGATTTCATTTGGCCTAGACCCATCCTATCCATTTCGCTTCATCTTGATGGGTCTTCCCGTCCTTTTTGCTAAAATTAATTGGCCTTATGTACTTTGATGGATATCCACAAGAATTTAAGATACACTATCCACAAGAATTTCCGAACAATAAATGTGCATCTTCTTAAACAATTGTAACCTTTTTTCATATCAAATTGAAGAAAAAACGAGTGCCCGATATCGGACATGAATAAAATAGCAAAAACCACGACATATGGTATAGCGCGAAAGCCAGAGAGATAAGATTAGTAAACGGTAAGAGAAATATCCTTCCCTACATTTAATCTAAATTGCATGCAAATTAGTGCTACCATACCCCGAACTCGGCCCTAGAAAAAAATCGCTCCCTTTTCACAAAAGAGAGAGCTCGGTTACGTTCAATTGAGGCATTATTACGTAGGTTGCAAAATGACTATAATAACAATTATAATGCAATTAAACCATCTCCTTAAAAAATCACTTTAGCTTTCTAAATTCACACTCGGCATACTCGACCGCCAACGAAAAAGGAATTACGGAGAAAATTACCACGCAGGATAATATTTCTCCACTGACCTTACATATTAGATAACGGAAAACAGTCCGAAGACGCAATTCACATGCGACGAAACTGTACGACGGAGACTGGAAGACGTGAAAGCAACCGGAGCCTCAAATCGCCAAAGATTCCCGAGGAAAGAATATCCGGCGGGTCCGCAGAGAGGAAAATGCCATGAGCTTATGGCAAGAAGGAGGAGCTGACGCCGTGCTGATGTGCGGGACGGGGACGACGCTGCGTTTGGGACAGCAGCCTTTAGGGCAGCGCAGACAGAGCCTGACGCGTGGCTGGATATCCGGACGGAATCATGCGACATTCCGTCCCTCGTATCGTTCGCTCATCTTCCGGAATGCGCTCCCCCGCGGCCCCCACCCGCTCCCGCACGCTCCTCCCCGCTCCTCCGCTCCCCCTCGCCCCCGCGCCACCCCCCGCGCCCCCCAACGCTCCTCCCCGCTCCCGGATCTTGACGGAAAAGCTAAAAGTGCACGGGTCGGGCTCAGATCTCACGACCCGACTCATCCATCGCGCTCTCAGAGAGAAGAGGGGCGGAGAGCGACGACGCGTTCCTCAGCTCGCGTTCATTTGAGGCACATCTCCGACGCGCGCAGAGCATTCGCTTCTCGTCTCGTCTCTTCTCCATCGCCGAGGGCTAGCGATCTCGGTTTTGCACGCGCTCGATTCGTTGATTTGTCGATCGATCTACCGACCTCCGCCATGGCGACCACTGTCGAGGCTCCCCCTGCCACCGTGATCGAGAAGATCAAGTTGGAGCTCGCCCTGCTCGACCAGATCAGGTCCGGATCTGCGTGTTGCTCGATGCTCTGGCTTGTGGGATAGAAATTGGGGCTGAGGTTTGGAGTCTCAGTGTTAGGATGGACGGCCTTCGTGTTTTTTTTTTCGGTCCGAGGTTCCGTCGTACCCTCCGCGTGCGGGGTCGTGGTGCGATAGAGGTGCATTTGAGGGAGGGCAGGAGACAGTGAGAGAGGGGAGGGAGTTCTTGGAGCTGGCATTGTCGTTCTCGTTCGAGGCAGGATTTGATCAGCTTCGTAAATTGGTGAAAGGAGAATTTTTTTTTTCCGTGGCCGAAGTGGAGCCGAGGGAGTAGCTGAGATGTGGATTTAGAGTTCACCCGTGTGCTCAGAGAAAGTCTGAGCTTTGCGGGGCCAATTCGTTTTGGTCACGTATATTTTTTCCCTTTCTGATGGAGTACGTTGGTGTCATACCGCTGTGGAGGACACTTGCTGAGGTGTCGGGCTTGAGAGTTTGTGGTAACGTTACGTCGATGTCCGGGGTTAAGTTAGTTCTGTGATTTTCTAGTCTTTTGGGTTTGGAGCTAGAACAGGGCATACGTGCTCAGAACATTAAGATGCTATCGGCCTGTGTGTTTGCAGCGCGGAAGAGAAGGCTGGATTTGTCAATTTAATTGAACGCTATCTCAGGTGAGGATCAACAGTCATCCAATTATTTGGAGGACATTTTGGAGTCGGTATGAAGGACCTGATTTGCGGTATTCCACTTATATAAAATGTAGACATTCTACACTTTCTAGGGTGGAAGAGGCTTTTCTGACCACTCATCATACTATGCTTATTGCAGCAAGTCTGGAGATGACATCGTTTGGAACAAGATCAAGCCCCCAACCGATGAGGTCGTTGTGCCTTACGATAATTTGGCCCCTCTTTCTGGCGGTAAATACTCGACCCCCATGTACCGATTACGCTGTAGTTGGTAGACTGGCTATGAGCGTCTGTAAGCCCCGAGCCCATGAGCGGACTTGGTCGATTACGTCCTGCCGACTACGTTTGACACTTTCTATACGTGTTCGTTTTCTTGGCCGGTGATCTCAGAGGAAGCAGAGACGAAGAGTCTTCTCGACAAGCTCGCCGTGTTGAAATTGAATGGTGGTCTTGGAACAACCATGGGTTGCACTGGGCCCAAGTATGTTCATCTTCTTTCCTGTCGCTCGATTTAGATTGTCGTTGAATCTACACTCATGTGGAAACTCAAATCGAAGATCGTTTTCCGTGGAAATCGGAGGAGTTTTCTGGCCCGCGTGTATTTAACCTCCTAATCTCCGATCCCACTGTTACAGGTCAGTGATCGAAGTGAGGGATGGGTTGACATTCTTGGACTTGATTGTAAAACAGATCGAGGTAAGTTTTTTTTACTTCGGTTTGGAATCTTCTGGACCATACAGGAAATAAACTTCTTTTTAATTTCATGTGCTTAGCTCGTTGATGAGGCTCAAAGCCGGTCGAGTGCAATTGAAATGTGTACTACTTATTGCAAGTCCTCCGTTAGCTTTGAGATTGAGTTGGAGATTTACCTTGATTTCCGCTGGAAATTAGAATTCAGCTCGCCAGAGGTTGAATCACTTTGTACAATCGAGATCGGATTGATTGAAATTCCCCTGGATTTTGCAATCCACTTTTGCAGCATTTGAATGGCACGTACGGCTCAGAGGTGCCCCTCGTGCTGATGAACTCCTTCAATACTCACGAAGACACCCTCGAGGTAGGAATACTTCTTAACTACGTAGTCGTATTGTAGGAACTAAAGACCGGGCAAACGTGATTTTTCCTCTGAAATAGTCATTTGACCTTATAGGCACCCTGAATCAAGTTCGTGGTGCCATGTTTTGCGGCCGGAGAGACTTGTCTCAAGAAGTTGACGGGATTTCTTGTCGTATTTTCGCCGCAGATTGTGCGCAAGTACGAGGGCTCGAAATTGGACGTTATGCTCTTCAACCAGGTAATCAACAATTACGTGTTTATACAGACACTGATTTCCATCGCAGATCAGTGTGCCCTGCCTTTAATTGATTGTTGATGTCTAAAATGTTCTTATTTTTTCTTGATTGATCGTAGCACATTGTGCACGTGAAGACTGAGTATTCAATGCAATCGTAAACAATGCTCTGAATTACCACAATGTCGTTCTGGATTGAAATTACCTCCCCTGCACCCCTTCCTGAGAGCTCTATTTTAGAGCGGAGACAGATATGATTAAATCGTGCATATCAGATTCTAGCTCCTGAATGTATTGTGACATAGCCAACGACTACATTCTACTGAAGGACAACTTGGTGAGCCCAGTAGTGTTCATTGATGTCGTTCGCAAGGTTTTTATGTCAGAAAATGCCTAGTAGTACTGAAAATTATCGCAATTGCAGAGTCAGTACCCTCGAATTTGCGCAGACGACCTTATGCCATGGCCCGCCAAGGGCAAGACTGACAAGGCTGGTTGGTAAGTTGGAGTCACTGCTTATGATGCTGTACATTTGTGATCCAGTTTGTTCCCTAGGGGCTTGAGTCTGATGAGTGCACGAAAGATGGATTACGAGTTGGACTCGGCGAGCTTTCGCATCCAAATATAGAATCCTGGAATAGTCAAGGTCATGATGCTGCTGGAGGGAGTATGTGATATTCAGTCACATTACTTATGCATTTACAAATGTGTGTACACTGCAGGTATCCTCCCGGTCACGGAGACGTTTTCCCTGCTCTTTACAACAGCGGTAAACTTGATGAGCTTATCGCCAAGGTAAAATTGGGCCTGCACACGGTTTGAGTCCCCCTTAAGCTGTGTAAATCGCAAGTGGGCTTACTTGGTTGGTTTTGTGTTTTCCTAGTTCTAGCGATTGACGGAATGTCATTGTCAATGGGTGCAGGGAAAGGAATATGTCTTCATTGCCAACTCCGACAACCTGGGAGCAATTGTTGACCTCAGTATCCTCCTATATGTTGGAGCCAAAGTTTCAAGAAATTTTTTATTTTTTTATTTGTAGAGGACGACAAGCATTGTTGCTATTGTCTTGTCTTTGCATTTCTCTCGTTTCGGTGCCCCGTGTTCAATCCTTCATCGTATCGTAGAGATCCTAAAGCACTTGGTCAACAACGGGAACGAATATTGCATGGAGGTACGCCTCTGCCACACTAGCAGTTCTCTTTTTTTTTCGATTTTGATCACTTATCTTGACGTTTATTTTCACACCATCGTGTGTGGTTGTGGATTGCTAGATTCCTCATAAATTTTCCTCCACGCAGGTTACACCCAAGACCCTTGCTGATGTTAAGGGTGGAACTTTGATTGCCTACGAAGGTAGAGTACAGGTAATACGATATTTCTGGCTCGGAATCATGTCTTTTGTAGCGGCACATTGAAAACTTGAATAGCTCTTCCCCAGTCCTTTGCAAATACTTGTACTGCACACGATAAGAACTGAATAGACTAGGCGTATGTAAACGTCTACGTAATGGAAGAACAGTAGTTGCCTGCATTCGATGGACGATACTACATTTGTGGTGAAATTAACTTGTATAAGCTGTGCAGCTTTTGGAGATTGCTCAAGTCGCAGACGAACATGTAAGTACGATCCTATGTTAAATGTTTTGCTGTGGAGCCGCATGTTCCGTTAAATGTTTTGCTGTGGAGCCGCATGTTCCGAAATATTTGTTAGCAAGTTCATATTCAAGATATTTGTGCAATTTGATTTAAAGCAGAATACGAACTGAAACTGCTTAGCAAATGTCTTGTGTTAAGGTGAACGAGTTCAAGTCCATTGACAAGTTCAAGATCTTCAACACGAATAACATGTAAGTTTGATCTCTACATCATGTCCGCCAATGTCGGCATGCTGCTAACGTAAATCCATTATTCGGTCACGAGCACGATGTAAATGCATAGTTTATCCTTCATATAATCGTTAACTTTATTTTACTCATTTGAACCATGTGTAACGTTCGTTTATGATCAGGTGGGTGAGCTTGAAAGCAATCAAGAGGCTCGTTGAAGCCGACGCTTTGAAAATGGAGATCATTCCCAACCCAAAGGTTTGTACGAGACATGTGATGATTGGTGTCACCCCTTCCATTTTCTTCGTCTCTTTGCACAAACTTAGTCTGAATGCGAGGTTGAGATTGGGTGTCGAAATTAACCAGTAGTTCCGATTGAGGTCAATACTTTTGTCTTCACGACTCAGCTTTCACGTCTTCTCACGTTTTTGTACTTCTACACACAGGAAGTTGATGGCGTGAAAGTTCTCCAATTAGAAACTGCAGCTGGAGCTGCAATCAGAGTACGTAGCCATTTGCAGAAGATAATGAAGAGCCTTATCGTTGCCATTCTGATGTTTATGCAGTTTTAAAAAATTGTTTCTATCGTCCAACATTGCCTCATAATGGTTTGCTAGAGCTGAATCCAAATCTAAACTTGGGGTTCTTGATCCAGTTTTTTGACAAGGCCATTGGAGTTAACGTGCCACGATCACGATTTTTGCCCGTGAAGGCAACATCCGACCTTCTACTTGTCCAGGTAAGCTTTTCGATATGACTTTTTTTGTTAAATGAGTAGTTGTTGTGTGTTCAGTGTTATGATATATATGAGCAGTGATGGTTGCGGCAAAGCTGTAGCGCAACGATGGCAGGTTTTGACTCTTCGTGTCTACTGTTCATCAGTCTGACTTGTACACGATGGAGGAAGGCTCGGTTCTCCGCAATCCTGCAAGAACGTCAGCTGAGAACCCAAGTGTCGAATTAGGCCCTGAGTTTAAGAAGGTAAAGAATTTGATGACTCCCACCTGGATCGAAGAGCGGAGAGATGGCTCAAGTGGCCCAGACTTAGCACCAACTTTTAAGAGCAGAGTTTCTTTTCATGTCTTGATTTGATTCTTACGACATATTCCTGTAAAATTTTTTCGCGCTTCCTGTTGTGACAAGCTTGGAGCAGCTTTATTTCGGAGAGATAGACGAATTGGGTATATATTGTAATCATCCTGATGCTCTATATTCGATGGACAGTAACGCTAACTTGACACTTCTATTCGCCAGGTTGGAAACTTTTTGCAACGCTTTAAGTCGATTCCCAGCATATTGAACCTCGACAGCCTTAAGGTGGCTGGTGATGTTGCATTCGGTAAAGACATTGTCTTGAAGGTAATATTGAGCTCCATTCCTTACAAGGTGGTCTATGAGTTCTTTACGTTGGAAAATTTGTTGGAATATTTCAAGTCTTGCGAGTGAATAAAGGACGACCTCCGACCTGGCCTTGATCTCGAGGAGTACTTATTTACCTTGTTACGACCTGTTTGATTTTGAAAATAGGGCACTGTTATTGTGGACGCCCTGAAGGAGAAGCTGGAAATTCCAGACGAAGCAGTCATTGAGAACAAGGTGAGCGGGCTTTTGTTCTCTTTTCGGTTCACGCCTGGATTGAAGTTCCGTTTTCGTCCTTCATCGCTTCGCCTATTCCCGTGAACATACTTCTAACACATGTCTGGCTTTCTTTGTCTGCAGAAAGTGACCCCGGGCCCAACTTACTCAGATTTGTAGATGAGTAGGTATTAAACATAGTGAACATAGTAGGACTATCCATTCATTGAGTGTAGAAGGATCGGAAGCGTGTCTTAGTGAATCAAATCAATAAAAAGCCGTAGGCTTTTACAACAAAGTATGTTATACTTCGATGACTGTTCACGTCTACGTCTGTTTGGCATTTTCTGATGATTTTCATGACATTCAGATCTGATCTATTTACATATTTCTTCACTTGGAAACATTAACGGTTGTCACCACTCTCAATAGCCATCCACGAAGAATCATAAGCCAAGGATTTATGTGATATTAATAGCCATCACATCTACAACTCTAACTTTATCTTCCCCGATTAAATACAATTGTTCTTCAAACTTATCGATTGTAAATGCGTAGAAACTTTCCTGCACGAGAGAATGGACTCTTACGTGACTTGATGATTAGCTTGGATAACTCACATTCTCACGTATCATAGCAAAAGACTATTCGAATAAAATCGATTTATAAATTACTTCCACTACATTGAATCTCAAGTTGAACTAAAATTCACGAGATTCTTCTTCAATCAAAGCACATTTTTTTAAAAAGAAGAAAAAGCAACCAATATTTAGTATGGGTAAACTTGAATTTAAAAAGTTCAAAAATCCTTTGATATATAAAAGACAAGCAGAAAAAAAAGCTCCACAGCCAAATCCTCATAATTCATAGAATGTTGTTGAATAGTGCAATCTGGATACCTTGTCGGCCTTAGGATTTTACTCCACACTGATATAATTGTTATGTTCATAACCACCTCATAAACATCACAACTCGTCAGATATGGACGAGCCATGCGGTCCATTTCAAACAAACCTTTACTTGTCGTACTTCTGTAAGACAGTAACAATACTAATAAACGTTCTTCCTTTCGACTTCGGAATTAACATAACAGAACGGACTCCAATTTTTATTCATACGCAACATGGCATATCAATATAACATGATTGATCGTAGCAAATCATGAGATATACACAGGTGTCTACTATACAAAAGGTACTAGAATATTAGGGCTAGCCCCTTGTTACCCGTTTGGTTTTATCTCGTACTTGATGGGTTCTTCTTGTTATTTCCTCGGGCCCCTCGAATTTTCACTATACAAAGAAACTGTTCATCTAAAAAATCGTAGAGATGATTCATGATCCTAATCTACCGGACATGATACCTTTTTTCTTGCACATATCGCAGAGCCAACCATAATCTCCATCATCTGAGCTCGAGTATTTGACTCTGTGCAGGTTGAAGGCATCTGCAAAGTTACCCTGTAGCTTGGAATCTAGCAAGTTCGTCAAGCTGCACCAAGCCTCATTCTTCTGCGTTAAGCTCAAGGCATCGGCCACCTTGAACTTCTCCAACACAGCGGTGCCGATCATCGCAGAAACTTGCGTTTCGAAGTCGTCAACAGCTGGAAATGCTGGTTGCAAGCCCAGAGTCTCCTGGAGCCCTGCTTTCAAGATGAAGCGTACCGTTTGGATAGAAATGGTAGATAGTCGTCGCAGCCATTCACAATTTTCCTTTTCCAACACTAGCTCCATACCTTTTTGATCTTCAATAAAATGCGGCTTAGTCTTGGATTCGCACATAAAGTGCAAACGAACGACTTTTCCAAAACGTGCCTTTGAGGTGAGCTTTTGCAGAAGCCTAGTATCCTTCTTGTTGAAAAACGGTCGTTTGGGGATTCTCGCCTGCTCCACAGAACTAGTGAACCCTACAATCTCATCTAAGCTTGACTGAAAGGTTGCACAGGTGGAGTTCATCTTTTGCTGGATGGAGACAATTTGATGGAGTCTCCCTTTCAGGCTTGATTTTTGCAATCTTTTCTGAAAAGTCAATAATCTGTTATCCAATACTTCCAACTTGTCGTCATTGGTGTCCAGATTATCAAGCATCGATTGATTTAGCTGATGAACCTGTTTCTCACTGGAGTAACTGGGGACGATTCGAGACGATATCATTGGCTCTGAATCTGAAGCACCAACTGAACCTGACTCATCGATGTCGAAGGCAGGAAGACTATGTCCACCTGATGTTAACTCACTGAGTTCACTTCTCAGTTGTTCTGAGACATCACGCAAATTTTGAAGCTGCTCTTTCAGTTTACATTGTACAGCACTTAAAAGCTTTTCCACATCACTTTCCAACAGAAGATCCTTCGCGAACTCGGAGTAGCGGGGAATATTTTCTTCTAGCACTTCAGCCCAAACATGCTCATACTTGAGCAGCGAATCCTCATCTCTGAGATCGTCCTCTTCCAGGCGGGCCTCGAGATCCTGCTGCAACAATTGTTTGAGATGTTCCACCGTGACCACTTGTCTCTCATCCCTGAGCTCACAGGGGACGAGCATCTCCACACACTTCGTATTGAGTATACCGAGAACCAGTATCACTCCTTGACAACCTCGTGGAGAAGCGCAGAATGCTCTGATCTCGTCGATGATATGCTTCATAACATATTTCACCGTGTCATCTTTGGACTTCCCGCCTGATCCCTTGACTAAGATGTCAACGTGACTTCCCACAACTGTCCTTTGATGAGACTCTTCCATTATGATCTCGTGCCCATCCATATACAAAGTGGTGTAACCCCGGGAGCATTCGACATCGGCAGAGAGTGAAGAGTTTGCGATCAACTTCTTTCGCAAGGTAATCTACATGCGCCAAGGTTCTGATCAGCTTCAGCAAAAATGAGAGCTTACTTCATATTTGCATTAGTTTCTTGGTTCATTGGATTAAAAGAAGCATAGAATGCAGGTAGTGCAACCCAATCAGAATTCCGATCATAAAAGCAACACTGTAACTAAGAAGTCATAATAAAAGGATTCGTAATCAATGTTAATGACTACCATATCTCAGAATACAGGATGTTGGGGTTGAATAAAGAGAACAACTTATTGTAGCATAGTTTCATTGATCTACAAGTTTTACCTTTAGTTTCAGTTGAAATCCTTCGACAAAGATTCACTCACATGTACTTGAACTTACAGCGTCACACTCAGAGATCCACGTTACCTGTAACCTCGTGAAGAATGAAGAAGTTAAAGACGTTCTCCACGGATCTTGACACTGAAGGCGGAAACCAAAGTAGTTGGGCTGCACATCCGATACGGACTTCCATGCCCGAGGTCTACCATGCTTCACTCCACCCTCGCTAAGGATTGTTGGAATGAAGTATCGAGGAATAGCACAGGCAGATTCATCCATTCTGTAACAAAGATCTAGTTTGGCAAGGATAAGTTTCAAAGTCTCCACCGGATATTGAGAATCCCTTGGTCTGCTAACAAAAGATTCAACTAGCCATTCTTCCAAAATCTTTTCATCAACACATCCTGCTTCACTGTAAACAGTTTGTTGTGTGGCATGATGCTTTTCTTCGAGCACTTGATAATCATGCCCCAATTTGATGAGCTCTCCAAGATATGTACGTGTAAGCCAATTAGGATACACAATAACTAAGTCGGAAGCGGGGATCAACACGATGCTTCCAAGATCGTGCAAGTATAATGCTACTGACTGCCAAGCCTCTTCACTGAGTTGATTCGAAGCTTCTACACTCTTTGAACAAAACCGAAAGAACTTATCAAGGCTCCAAACAGGATCCCGATGGATGCTTGAAACTCGCCGTGCTAAAGTTGAAGTAAGCTCCGAGCACAGCAGGGGCACTAAATCCCTCTTTTTAGAGAAAAGCTCTTTGAACGAGGAAAGGATTTGCTTCAGGAGAGGAGACACATGTTTCTCCTTGTGAGCATTGACATATATCCTACCAATGTTGGGGTCAAGTACGAGATCTACAACCCCTTGATATTCATTTTGTAACTCCTCCAAGATCATGAGGACCCAGTCAATTCCAGGACTTTCAACTTTGTCCACGTGGGTGAGTATCACCATCATTCGGGGAAGACTCTGTCCTATCCGAGAATTCGATGCCACAAATCGCAACCAGTCCTCCAATTCTTCCCTCAACAGCGCCTCTAGATTATCTTTGATTGTGTTTTTCAGCTCATCGTAAGGACTGAAAACAAACAAGAATATAAAAGGCTGATCTGTTCTCGGGAAAATGATATCGTGGAGTGAACGGAAAATTTCCTGACCTGCTAAGTCCCATATCGCAATCTGCATGTCTTCATCATCCTGGAGCAGCTCCACTTCAATCCCCGAAGTTGTCCATAGTTCCACTTCTCTATATGTGCAGGAGTTCTGCCGCAACTTGTCCAGTTTATTTCCAAACCAACCTTTGTTGGACAGTCTCATCATCGTCCGTCTCAGCCTTGTCTTACCTGAACCAATCTCACATTTAAGCATATGCAGGGAAGCGATATTTTTAAAAAAAATGCATCTGGACAAAATCAGCAATGTAGATAGTGAGGGAAGCATACCGGCATAAGGCGAACCACACAAGAACAACCGACCAGCTCTGGCCTTTTGGAACTTCAACTTGGCCTCCTTCAGACCACCGATGTATGATTCCCGCTCGGCGTTCCTCTTCAAAGCCTCGTCAATGAGCGGCCCTTTGCCTTCTGCCTCCCATCTTGTGCCACTATAATCAAGCGTCTTCAAGGTAACATTGACCTCCAGTAGGCTCATTACGTCCTTAAAGGACTCGTCGCAAAGATCTAGGTTGCTCTTCAACCCCAAATGGGTGAGACTGCTGTTAGAACGTAGAGAATCGAACAACTTCTTCCACCCTCCTTCTATGCCCTTGCCCTTGCACCACTCCAACTCCAAGGATTGCAGTTTACACTCGTGAAGTGTGAGTACATCAAAGATCCTATGAAGTTCGAATCTTTGTGATTGTTGTACATCATAAAAATCCAAGCGCAGTGCCTTTACCGAGTTTAGTTCTCGCAGAACACTCACTAGAAATAAGCATGTACTTTTCGACGCCAGACATGCACGTCCGGAGACAGTAATCTTGATGATGGGATCGGCTCTCTTGTTGGCTGCATCCAGCAACCCTCTCAGAGACTCAAAATGACTGGCTGGTAGTCCTTTCCAGAGAACAACTTCGAAGTCATTGAGTGTGAAATTTGAACTCAGGGATTTACCCGCTCGCTTCCAGTCATTCCTGAACCACTCGTAATCCGCATTCATGAATACCCCTTTGAGAGATTCGTTCAGGGATATTGATCTGGAAAGAGCGTCCACATCCACAGACAACTGCTGTACACACAGCAGAGATATTGACTGATTCGAATCCGTTCCTGTGAAGACGTCGAGCAGGATGTCCGAGACTCCGAATCCCATCCTCATCCCGAGCGTTACCTTCTCCAACGACGGAGAGCACTTCACCAAAGCATTCGTTAGGACCTTCACATCGTTCGTACTTCTCAAGGCAACGTCTAGATTTAGGATTCTCAGCTGGGGAGCCCATCGGATCACGTCGCACAGACCGTCCATCACCCATCTTGTGGTTTCCCGGCATTGGCCTTCGATGGACAATATCTGCAGAGCAGGATTGGACTTGAGAGGGTTCAGAAGTGCCTGCGCCTCCTCAGCAGTGGACGCGAACTGTTCTACATTGACGCGAAGACGACGTAAAGTTTGACAGCTGCCTATGGCCTCCAGCAGTCTCAGCCGTGCCTCCCTCCGCAGTCGCGCGCTGGACAAACGAGGCTCGTCACTAGGAGGCACATCCCCATATCTCTCCTGAATCGTTCCGGTTTCAGCAAATCCTTCTGCCGTTATTCCCCAATGACAGTTGATGAGATCTGAGATAGAAGCTGGAAGCTCCTGTTCTTCGACTTCATCTTCCATCATCCCTTCCAAGAGGCCACTCCATCCTACGGGGGATGGAGGCTGGGTTTGGCTTTCCTCGATCTCCGAGGCGCCTGGACCTTCAGCCATACACACCTGTCGAAGAACGGAACAACTTCACCCGAATCTGCTTTCTTACCAGCTCACATCAGGTAGAATCTGTCAGAGAACCCGACAACAAGAAGAACTCATGGAGCTCCTTATTCTGTTAAGTGAATCTTATGTCAGAACACAAAAAACCTGGAAAGACTGAGATTCATGCGGCTTTGGATATCACGGTAGACTTCTGATCCAAAGATACGCGCTCCAGACACTATCCATGGACATCTCAAAATTCAGCAATACTGTCGTAGACGACAGACTGACTTACGCACATGCGATTCGAAGGACAAGCTAATAAGTATTACCTACTCCTTCGTCAAGGATGGATACGAAATTCGCACAGGAGGAGATTTGAATATCAATTGTGGACGCATAACGGAGGGTCTCAGGGAGAGTTCCTCGGGAAGAATACGATATCCAAGCACCGAAACACTCAGCAAAAAGAGCATCAGTAGAGTATACATCAGGATTTTGACTCTTGAAGCCGGAAGTCTTCCAGCTCCCGAGACTTGGTCCGTCGCCTCTAGCTGTCTTCATCCTACAGCAGAGGCCGCCATACACTCAGCACTCATTGAAGAATCATCCGCGCGCGCGCGTGCACCGGGGTCAGCCCCAGTCGAGGCACATTAATTTCGAAAATCCGGATTTTTCAGTCCGAGGCGATGTGTACCACGTTGATATGCTCATCGCGGGCGACGCCTTTTCGCAGTGGGCCCGCCGAAACTCTGACCTCGCAGCGCAAACCGAAGCTCCGTGCGTGCAGACAATGTCGTGACGGCATCAAATCTGGAGCAGGGCCGAACATACTCCACGACCCGTTCCTCTTGAAGTGGGCACCCGCCGCTCCGCGCAGCCTCTGCTGACAGTCCAGCGAGCCCGAGCAGCGGGTCGCATCATTCCCGCAACATTTGACTCGGTTCTTCGAGCAAGAACGCGACTGTTACGCAAGGCGCTCGAGCGCCTCCCGCATCGAGGCGCTCGAGCCGGGACGGATCGCGGGCGCGCCTTCCAACGGGTCCGGCGTCCAACCGCTGCGCTGGGACTGGAACTCCGTCGCTGCTTCGAACTTCGAATTTTTCGAATTTCGAATCTTTCTTTGACGTTCGCAGCTCTCTCGGATCTGTGGGTCCGACGCTGCCCGGGTTTCGTCTGCTTACGTGGAGATGGCGGGAGTGCCGGGACCTGTGACGTGGGGCCCTTCATGGGCCACTTGGACGTGTTTCCGGTGACCCCTTTGACTTGGCCAAGTGGATCAGCATGAATCGGTTGCCGATTTAGCCAGCTGGACCGTGCCAGCTTCTTCATCGGTCATTGTGAGCTGCAGGAGCGCGACTAGGAGTTGAATTCTGCCTCGTAACCAGCGGAGTCCTTGGGGGAACAATTATAAGGATTGGTGACAATTGGTGACAACTGAGCGTCAATTTTTGGGAATTGTTTTGGAATTTCTTTTCACCCTGTTTGACATGGATCATCATCGTATATGAAAAACTTTTCAAAAATTGCGCTAACACAAGTGACAGGAGCAAGTGGATAGAAACGATGGTGAGATAGCATCAAGCTTTAGAACGAGAAACCCAAACACATGGCATGGACAATAACTCCATGGATCGTGATGAGAAATAAAGCATATATCAACTATAATCTCCATATATATAAATAAACCTGCCACATCACATATACGGATATGCTATCTTGTGTGTATGTACAAAATAGTCTAAAGAATATAACTCAATATCTTAGTATTATAGTCTCTCACACGCTCCTTCTTTATGCTCTCGACTTGGTATCTATAGACATCAAATGCTAGAATAATTAATAGCTGACTTCTTTGACTGTCCTTCTATTTAGGTACCGTGATTGCTAGGTCACACTTGTATTCCATCAAAGAAATCCTTCCCATGTGGAATAGTTAGCCACCATGTCTATGATTGTACCTTGATAGTCTTGGATTCAGTACAGACAAAAAATATAAATAAAAAAATTAAGTGTATACCTCACATGAGTTACGTTCCAACCTCACAAGCCTTTGCAAACATCCTAATTTTAGTTAACTCTTTGAAGCTATACTTTGAATTTGACTGGACATCAAGTCATGCGAACTCTTTTTCCATCTACATTCACATCTGGCTCAATGAAGATGTAGATCTATAGCCCGTGTAAAACTCATTGTAACTAGAACGAGTCCAACAAACTCAATGCATAATTAAATCAAGATATTAAAACCTACATACTTTTCACCTGAAGATTATATGTGATTGCAACCTAACTTAATGTTATACACCCTAAATAAATCTGTTCATTTTGGGTTTATCACTTCTCATTAAAATCAACAAGGGGTAATTAACATTACTTTCAATATTAATCATTTTAATGCCAATTTTTCCATATAGACAGTTTCTTATGAAGTTATTTGATCGGCAAATGAATGTAACAAAAATAATACTCGTCAGTTTGCACCACTTTATAATTTTTTTCATCAGATCATATAAAACTAAAAAAAAAAAACTAGAATTTTATCGATAACTTCTTGATATGGCAGGGGAAAAAAAATCATAAAAAGCACGCCAAATTTGCGAATAATGTATCTAGCTCTTTAGTTTAAATCTTATGTCTACAATATATAAGAACATAAATATCACTCTACCAGAATCATCATTTCATAGAGAAAATGTGTCCACATTTGGTTTAAAATAGCAAACTTAAGGATGGACTTTAAAAGAGTTTAACTGAAAATTCGATACAAGCATGGCTCTTGAATCTAATTTCATTGAAATCGAGTCTACTTTGGAGTACAGATGTTTCACAATTTACAGCAAATCAATACTGTTTAATTGAATTCTTGCCTTTAGTGGTACATGATTGTCACATGATAGCCTGTTCGATACGATGGAAACAAACTTCTATATTCACAAAGGAAATATATGGTTTTAAGTGCATCAAATTCACACAACATTTTTTACCATTATGCGAAGTACTTGTACTTCTCCCAAATAAATATTTTTTGTACTATATTTAATCAGCCATAAAATTCGAAGGGTTTTCTCATAAACTCCAATTTGTATTAAAAAATGATATCAAAGGACTAGATGATTACCTTGTTTAGATTATCTACTCAATGATCCAGATCCAGTTAATGAAATCTATGGGAACATCCACATTCTAGTCGTACCTTATTCTGATTGAAATTTAGGATTTACCTTCATATAAGTAAATCGCTAAAAAAATTCTCACGGAATTGGCTTAATGTCTTGACCGCAGTTGCAAAACATGGCTGCACGATCTGTTTCTCTTACACAACTCTTGGCAATGAATGATTGCATATTATATATATCTCAAAGGTGGGATGCGTATAAAGTTTTTAGAAAGAAGGTGGTACGGGATTCCTATATTGGGGTGCGAACTGTTACGAAAAAGCCCTAACACCATCAACCGAGGTAAGTTCCACTCCACAAGTCTCCAAATATTGAATTGCCTGCCCTGAAATAGATGTCAGCAGCCTCAAGGCATTAATATCGGATAATGTGCGGCTCAGATCCGTTTCCGGCGGGGACTACCGCCTGGTGATGGTGTTCACTATTATCCCCGTTCTAGTATAATATATGTCGCTAGGACCATTATTTCAGTCCTATTATGATACATATCATATCCTAATCATGAATTATTACCTTATAATTTCTGATCTGGTAATAAATATCCATATTCACGGAAGAATTCTAGCATCTTGGGGAGATCGACTGAATTATGTGTTTGAGCACCAATATCAAAATATCTCAACATTAAATGCCAGGCTCCATTTAAACTATTCTCAAGATATTTCTATGTTTACAGTCCGGTGAGATGTACCCAGTATGCGGCTTTTGGAGTCCAAAGTTAATGAGTGCATAACGTAAATTAAGAAGAAGTATTCACTTAAACAACTAGATTACCATCATAACCGACCATTAATTGATTGATATGCTAACTTCATGCAACACCAAGATTGAATTATCTTATTATTATTAAAAGTAATAAATATCTTCAACGATCATTATTAATCATAGAAAATTGGATAAAAGAATCCATGATATCAACAAATTGAAAGTGAAAAGAAATAGATTTTTTTCCACATTGAAATGATTTGTATCATAATAGGACTGAACTAGTGGTCCTAGCGACATATATTATACTAGAACAGGGATACTTTACGTTTATGTAACCTCTTTGTGTCAATGTTCCTTTACTTTACTTTGATAATTTTCTCTCAACAAGTGAATCAATTAGTTTTTGAATGTTGCACCTAAATTTTTTATTGAATAAAATTTTTAATGTTCAATGCATTTTAATGTGAAAGTAAATATGTTATTAGCATTTGAAAGTTTACTTCTTCAAAAAAAAAAAGGCATACTTGATAGTAAAAAACATTGATAGAGAACTATCATGTAAATCTAGAATTGCTAGCCGCTATAAAACTATCTCATATAAGATACTGACATATGGGTAAATAAAGACTTTGTCATTAAGTATGCAGAGTTCACATTGAGTAATCATATACAAAGTACAACAATTCATATGTGTGCAATCTGATATGATTGAAGTCAATATGCTTCAATGCAAATGTTATAGCGGATATAATATGCTGAGGAATCAAATTATAGATTGTGGCAGTTGAGGGATGTTTATTTGAAAATGCTTTTTACTTGGAAAATAATACATTCCATATCGGTGGATTCATTGTACATTAGTCATCTTCATGTTTTTGTCGTGGAAGCTAAGAGAGCAATAACAATGTCATCATTGTCGGATTTGACCTCTAAACATCAAACAGAGGTATCATGTGGATGGAAATAAAACGGATGAGATGATTAATCCAAAATGACATTCGGTATTGTTTAGCCAAAAAAGACAGTGGAAATAGCTATCGTGCAATGTGTGAACATGGTGAAAAGATGCGAGATGACAAATCCAACAAGTTGTACATATCTTGCATTGATGTACTTTAGATTCTAAACCTAGAGTTGAATACATGCGTAGAACAATCTTCAAAGAGTTGAGGATGCAATCATCAATTGCATCGAAGTTAGGATTGGAAGCGCAACAAATTTTTTTGTTGTGGCATCACCAGCAACTTTGGCCAAAGTTCTTAAGTCCGTCAATGATTCAGAAAGAAAGTAAAGGAAAGTAAAGCTATCATTTGCATTTTAAAGATTTTTTAGTCAACTCCAAGAATGCATACAATGTGTGTTTCAAATAGAAGCTTGCAATATTTATCTGTGACTTCAATCCTAGCTACACCGTATACTCAACAAGAATAATCTCGGATCAACTACTACAATAAATAAAGAATGAATGCTTGCTACAGCTTGAAGATCAACTCAAGAACATTAGAGATATTTCATCAAGAAGAGTGCTCTCAAATCGACTACTACAAAAAATATACAATGAGTGTTTGCTAGAGTTTTATGATAAATTGAAGTACACCAGCGATGTGATGCTAACTTTGGATGGTAACGATGTTTTTTTAAAAAAAATTTAATATGTATTTTGATTTGGTTGGACACACACCGGAGTGGTCTCCAAATGTCATTGTGGCTATAGTGAATACCGAGGCGGAAAAACTAAATGAGTAAGATTGAGACGTAGATGATTTGTTATCTTGAAATTTTTTACATTGTAATGTAGTCATGATGTCTGAACTTGAAAAGCACTATTGTCATGACTAAAAAATATTTGTTGTGCCTCCTACACCAAACATGACAACAATCCAAGCATAGAAGAAACCTAATACAAGAACATGGACACATCTCATAGAAGAACCGTGAGTTTACATGCCAAATTTTCATAACCTCCTTCCTACTGCTGCCGGAGTTTCATCTCTGGTTGCTTATCCATGCAACCGACGGCACATACTGGATTCTAACTCTCCTCTTATATCAACAGCGGCATAATCGCGCTGATAGCGTTTTAGAAAGTAGAAATCTCATTCTAAATACACACAACAACTAAAATGTGCACCTTCGTGAAACCTTGACAGTGAAAAAGAAGAGATAATTTCCATGAGACATTCATGATAACTATATTTTTCATTTCACTATCTAGTTTGTCATAGGGTCCGTAATGTGTTGTCACCTTAGGATTTACGTGACACCTTGTGTCATGTCAGTTGTCCCTCTGGTGATATTCTTGTGACGAAATAAGCTTGACGTGACACCAAGTGTCAATGTCAGTTTTCCTTTTCGTGATATTCTTATAACGAAATAAAGTGCAAACTTTTTGTTGAGTACAAAAGGGATCTTATCTCAAGGAAGAGGCAGGATCAAAGACCAGCA